CCTAGTTAATTGAAATAAATCTATCTGAGAAGGAAAGCCGAGCACTAGAATAATGTATGCTGTCTATAGTCATTAAATTCGAACTTTTGGCATCACAGAAAATAAAACAATAATGCTTAGTAGCCACTTTGATATCTACAAGCTAAGATTAACGAATGAATTTTGTGAAAATCACGAGGTGGAAAAATCATTGTCTTTTGAACCATTGTACACATATGAAAAAATAATTTTAAGATGTAAAATTGCTTGAATGAATACAAATTTCTCCTCTAATTTTACTGATAGTCCAAAAGCACTGATGATATCTCAAATGATTACCATTTACTATTATAAATATTCATTTACAATAATCAAATCATGAGCCAGACATTATAATGCTAAAAAAAAAAAAAAGAAAAGGAAGACACTTCAGCTTCCACCCCCAATGAAAGCAGAACTTTGAAAGTGATACTGTGATACTGATGGTAAAGAAAGCCTGGGTGTTGGTGGTGGTCTCTGTACTCAAGACTTGATTTTCTAACTCTGCAAGTCTGAAACTGCAGTTTCCAGCTTAGCCAGTGGCAATTCACCCCTAAAAAACTACTTGCGGTGTAACTTTTATTTGTACAAAAGAAGTGAGTCTGTGATCAAACATATAACTGCCAAGCTCTCTGATACTCATTTAAGTCATTTAGTCTTTTATAAAAAGAAAACCACAGTCTCAAAATGGAGTCACTTCTGCTGGGCCAAGTCACCAAACTGGGGATTAATACTTAACTTAGTCGCAGTTTCTACCACCCCTAGAAATCCCTCTAGTCAGGAATTTTCTGGGCAGCACGCATGAGGTGATCTGTCGCATGAGCTCTCTTCATCCACATCCCCGACCAAAAGATGAGGCAGCCTGTGTGATAAAATTCTTTTCTTTTCCTTCTAAGGAAGGGTGACTAAAACTAAAGCTTATTTAAGAAACAAAATTAAGGTTGGTGAGTATCTGTAACTGAGGCACTAGTAAAAGAAATAGTATTTATTCTGGCATTGAGAGGCTGCTATTATTTGTCATAGTGCTTAACAGCTTATGGATTCTTTTCATATGTTTTATTGAGTGTTTGACTCTCACAAGAACCATGTCAAGTAATGGGTCTGGTATTACCATCCTCCTGCCTCTTTTGCTGATGGAAAAAACCAGAGGCTCAAAGAGATTAAGTGACTTGTCTAAAATTTTGTGACTGATAGTGTTGATACCTTTTGCTTTGGTTGGGCCAATTTCCTTCCTCCTTTGTTAACAGGACTCTGATTTTCCTTTAAGGGACAACTCTGTGCTTCTCTGTGGCTCCTAGCAGGCCTGTCAGTAAGGGGCTCAGTCTCTCTGTTACATGTGACCCACACTGGCCTCTCAGGACCCTCTAGATCCCTGGATGCAGAGACTGGTGTACAGGTAGGCCTGTGATTCAAGTAATTTGGTTTTTTTTAAGAGATTGAAATAGATGAATTGTAGGAGTGAGTTGGCTTTACTTGGCAGCTGTAAGGACCATGAAAAATAGCTATTTTCCAGAGAGAGCTGCTGGACTGAAGTCAATACAGAGGGAAGCCAAGGAGAACCAGAGAGAGAGAGAGAGATATTTCTGATTTCATTTGAGCAAATATATACAGCTATCTCTGAAGCAAAATCAACTCTTGGATTTTCAAGTTCAGTGAGTTAATAAATTTCTTATTTTGCTTAGGCAGGTTTAAGCTTCTTCACTTGCAACCAAAAAATCCTAACTAATACAGCTAATAAATGCCTTAGCTATGATTGAAACATGTCTTTTGACATCAAATCCTTTGCTATTTCCACTGATGAATACTTCAGAAAGGTGCCCCTACTTAAAAATGTCAAAACTGATTAAGTGCCTTTGTGGGAGACTTCTTTCTCCTCTTTTCATGGATACACACTTTCCTCTACATTCTCTTCAAGTTTTCATTTTTAAAGTTTTACCAAGAGAATGAGAAGACAAGCCACAGACTGGGAGAAGTTATTTGCAAAAAGACTTATATGATGAAGGACTGTTGCCCAAAATATACAAAGAACTCTTAAAACTCAGCAGGAAAACAAACAACCTGATTAAAAAATGGGCCAAAGATCTGAACATCTCACCAAAGAAGATATATAGATGGTAAACAAATATATGAAAAGATGTTCCACATATGCGTCATCAGGAAATACAAATTAAAGCAACCACGAGATACCACTACACAAGTATTAGAAGGACAAAATCCAGAAAAGTGACAATACCAAATGCTTTTGAGGATATTGAGCAACAGAACTCTCATTCTTTGCCGGTGAGAATGTAAAATGGCACAGCCACTTTGGAAGACGGAATGGTGGTTTCTTATAAAACTAAACATACTCTGGTATTACCATAGGATTCAGCAGTTTTGCTCCTGGATATTTACCCAAAGGAGTTGAAAATTTATGTATACATAAAAACCTGCACTTGGATGTGTGTATCGGCTTTATTCATAATTGCCAAAACTTGGAAGCAACCAAGATGTCCTTTAGCAGTGAAAGGATAAAAGCTGGTACATCCAGACAATGGAATATTACTCTATGTCAAAAAGAAATGAGCCATCAAGCCACAAAAAGACATGGAAGAATCCTGAATGCATATTACTAAGTGAAAGAAGCCAATCTGAAAAGGAGCCAATTCCTTTGTATTTTCTGATGACACATATGTGGAACATCTTTTCATATGTTTGTTTGCCATCTGTATATCTTCTTTGGTGAGGTGTCTGTATAATTCCAAATATATGACATTTTGGAAAAGCCTAAACTATATAGTAAAAAGAACTGATTGCCAGGGATTAGGGGAGAGAGAGGGATGAAAAGGCAGAGCACAGAGGATTTTTAGGGCAGTGAAACTACTCAGTATGATACTATAGTGGTAGATACCTGTCATTATACGTTTGTCCAGTCCCATAGAATATACAACACGAAGAGGGAGTGCTAATTAAATGCTGAGTTTAGGAGATGTGTCAGTATGGGTTCATCAATTATAATATATGTACCACTCTGGTGAGGGATGTTGATAATGGGAGAGACTATGCCTGTGGAAATCTCTGTAACCTCTCAATTTTGCTACGAACCTAAAAATGCTCTAAAAAATAAAGTCTACTAAAAAACTTCCAAAGCCATTGCTTTGACCTCTGCATGTATTTCACAAACTTCTAGGTAGCAAGTTTAAAAAAATGTGTTGGTGAACTAATCCATGTAAAAAATTTTTCTTACATAATGCAAGGAAGGAATGATAGAGAGTGTAGCAGAGTTGCATTGGGTGGAAGTATTTTAGCACTTTGCTAACATGAAAGAATATTTCTAATGTAAACAGAAGAAAAGAAGAGTGGTTAAAATTGTCTGAGAAACCTTTTCAGGTTGGTTAACCATAGACAAAATGGTAAACTTTTTCTTTAGTACGCCAACTTCTCTGATTTTCTACCTTCAGTTCCTTTCCTTCCTCTATTATTTTGCAAGCACATCAACCTATATGAATGTGTTCAAATTTTCAACACTTTAATCCACTAGAAGTGTAATGTTATGGGCTATACCATCTTTCTCCTGTATAGCTTCCCTTTTCCCATCCCTTTTCTCTGCAGCCCCTGGTCTGTAAATCTTTTTCACTCAGATATTTTTGTGCCCCCCCCTCCTGCTTTCTTCTCCTTCTGGACAAGGATGGAGAGAAAGGGGAATGGGAAAGCAAATCCTGTGAGAGAAGTAGGTCAGACTAGGAGTAGATTTTATCAAATTTTAGCACATTCTAAATATAGGACACCCTGATCAATGAAAGGAATAGAAAATATGTGTCTTAACAATTTTTTTTTTACTTAAACCTCCTACTTAACCACTCCCTTTCAGTTAGCAAAAATAAAGGATATAGGGAATTTAAGGAAAACAGCAAAATTGAAAGGTGGATAAATGGTTTTGATGTATTTATTGCATTCTTATATTTGTTGTTCTTCATTTGGATTTCAAGATCCTTGAAATCCAATGAACTTATTTTCCTTTTGCTATGAATACATACAGTGTTTAACTTTCTGGATATCAGTTTTTTGCCTAACTTATTTAGATCCTTCAGTCTGAAGTACATTTTTCCTACTTATGTTTTTTTCTGTTGGGAAGTCTTACTAGTGTTTCTCTGCATATTACATTTGACCTGTCCTTCAGGGTATGGCTTAAGTTCATTTCCTCTATTAAGTTTCAAAAATTCCCCTAGTTACTTCAGTTGTGCACCACACAAGTGCTTATCTGTGGTTGGCTGAATAGCAGCTCTTCAAAGGTGTCCACTTTCAATTCCCCAGAATCTGTGAATGTTTCCTTACATGTCAAAAGGAACTTTGAAGATGTGGTTAAATTAAGGATCTTGAGATGTGCAGATTATTCTAGGTCATTCAGGTGGACTCAGTCCCAAGGGTCCTGAAGAGGGAGGCTGGAGGAACAGAGTAGGATTAAAGGCAATGTGCAATGGTCATGGAGGGGAGAAAATGCAATGTGACATGGAGCCATGAGCCAAGTGGTACAGGCAGCCTCTAGAAGCTGGAAAAGAAAGGAATGGGAATCTTCCTTAGAGCCTCCAAAAGTAACCAGTGCGGCTGACACCTTGATTTTAGCCTACTGGGACTGATTTTGGACTTGTAAACCTTCAGAACTCTAAGATAATAAATTTGTGTTGTTTTAAGCTACCAAGTTTGGTGGTAATTTGTTGCAGCTCTAATAGGAAACTCATATGACATCATTATGTCTTCAACAGTCTTCTAGGTCTGCTTCACATAATCTAGCACTTTACTGTCATGTTAATTCTACTACATCTATATGGTAGAATTTAAAGTCCTGATGGACAGGAACCAGAATTTTTACCTGTTTTTTTTTTATACCCTACAGTCCTTAGTCCAATCTTAGGGACTCAGCTATTTGAAGTAAATTATATCTTTGGTGCATAAAAGAGAATGGGCACTATCAGTGGGGAAATGAAGACATTTTGAAACACATATACAAATGAACAAACCGTGTTTACTTCCCTGGCATCAAGTTCCAGCCTGTTGTTTTGAGCTCCGTGCCACAAGCAGTGTTTGGGTGTGGAGTGCTGGCTTCATGGTGGCTGGAACACAGAGGATCCTCAGCACTTGATGCATTGAACTGAAATCTGTGGGAGTAAAGAAGGAAAAGGAGAAAGAGAAAAGCAAGATGGATCTAGCAGAAAGTTCTCCTTAGCTGATTCACTTGTCACAGTAAGTTAAAATGCTGAAAAGGAACATTCACCAAAATTTCTAATGTGAATTTTTCCTTAATGCAAAATAGAAGAGGAAAAGATGACAAAAATAGGTGGAGTGTGAGTTTTAATTTCATCCATTAAATTCAGATAACCAGTTATCTTAAAATACAAGTAATGTTTAATATTGTGCTGAGATAAAAAGGTTACAGACAACCTATAGGACATGATCTGAAGGACCTTAATATCTAGTTGGGAGATAATACTAACAATCAACTAAGGTTCCCAGGCAGTTTATCAAGTGCCATCTTATGTGATTCAGACTTTGGAGATTATAGATATTTAGAATTTGGGGCTGAAGAATCAATACTTCATTCATTTGGCAAATACTGAAAACCTATTATGGTTCTTTGTGAATAAGTTTCTGTTTGGCGTCTACAATCTAATGGAGGAAGTCAAGGGAAACTGCAAATCTAAGAATGGATTCACTGCTAAGTAGCTGGGGGATGATGTGTGGTTGAGAAAAAGTTATTACTATAACTTCTGAAAGTTGAAAGGGGAGGTGGGACAGTGAATGATTTTAAATTAAACGTGTTATTTAGTCTGACCTTTGAAAGATTTTTAGGACATTGAGAATAGAGTTTTCCAGGCTGAGGCAAGAGCACTGCAGACATGAAAGGTTATAATTTTAGGAGTATGCTTGGACGAAACAAAGGATGTTTGAAGGGTAGTGCATTATTTTCTTATTGCTATGGTAACAAATCACCACAAACTTAAAACAGTAATTTATTATTTTATAGTGCTATAGCTCAGAAGTCCAACACACATCTCAGTGGTATAAAATTAAGGTGCTGAGTTGCATTCTAGAGGCTGTAGGGGTGAATCCATTTCCTTCTCTTTTCCAGCTTCTAGAGGTCACCACAACCCTGGCCGCCATGTTGCCTTCTCTAATCATTCTTCATAGTCACACCTACCTCCTGACTCTTCTCTTCTGCCTCAGTTTTCAAGGCCGTTGTGATTACATTGGGTCACTTAATAATCTAGGATAGTCACTTTTACTGGCAGGTGACTAACAACCTTGATTACCCTTTGTCTTGAAACAGCAGTTACATGTTGTGGGGATGGAGGAGCTAATTCTTGAGAGGAAAGGAGGCCAAAGGACTGAGGGGTGTGAAAGCACTTCTAAGAGCAATGGGGAGCAGGGCCAAATTTCTGAGGCTTGACATAAATTCTCGATTTTTTGGAGACTTTTGGCTGCAGCATAGAAAAACTGTACAGGCAGTTGTGGTGTACATTAGTCGAGGTGAGGGGGTATAAGGTAGGGAAGGCATAGAGCTGATCGTTTTATTCCGTTTGAGACTGCTTCTGCACATCTTTAAGTGTTTTAATCAGAGTTCACGATAACATCCCTCAGGATCTCAGCAAGTGCAATTTCCTGTAATTTGGCTTAAGTTTTCAGTAAATGCAACCCAGGACTCAAATCAACGAGACTGGAATACTGGCAAACCCACAATTACCAAGACTGAAGCTCAAACACGGCCAAACACTGAATTTTTTAATCCAAATCACAGGGAAAACATGCAATCCTTGTTCTTAAGGTGTTTCCTTAACACAGACACAAAATGTCAAAACTGTGCCTGGCCTCAGAGAACAAAGCCGGACTGCTCGCCCACGTTTAACACAAACCTCCTCCCATCTCCGAGGCCCACCTGGAAGCAGCCCCTTCCAGTCACCGCCCTCTTCCTTTTCTCCCCGCGCTCCAGACAATCGTTCGCAATGACGCGAACCCCGCCCAGCGGACTCCACAGCCACAGCATCCTCAACCCAACCACGCCAGCTCGGCAGCCCCGGAGCCGCAGCTGCGGCAGTGAAACGGCGTGGTGGAAACCGGACGGCGGTGGTGGTGGGCGGATCTGCATCACGTGCCCCGAGCCCATCTTCCGCTTTCGTCACGTCCGGGTGCAACAGCCGTTTCTGTCCGGCTGGGTTCTGTACGTGCTCAGTTCCCCCTTACTACATCTGTCTCCACAACTGCCTCTTCCCTGTTCCCAGCGGGAGGACATGAGTGTTCCTGGGCCGCCGTCCCCAGACGGGGTCCTGACAGGGCCACCCGACGGCATGGAGGACGGGGAGCCGACGTCGGGTACGTGCTGTGGGGCGTGGCGGGCGGCTGGGATCCGAGTGGGTGGGTCTCCGGGGCCGCTTCGCGGGAATTGGTGGTTTTCTGACGCTGCGGCCCGGAGACTCGGGCCCCAGCGCGGAAGTGGGGAACTGCGGCGGCCCGCTGCTCAGCTGAATGGGTGGGGAGTGGGGGTCAGGAGGGGAAGCGTTGTTTGGGGTGCTGTTGATGGTGAAGTCATTCTAAATTTGTATGTTTGCTCCAACGCATTATTTGTTGTACATTAGTGGTTGAGGGTGAATCTATCGGAAGGATGATTCAATTCAGAGAGTTGATGTATCCAGTATCATTGACCATTCACTCATGAAATGCTTTCTTGTTGACTATTATGCATCCCCGTTCCTCCAGAAGCCTTTCTCAGCCCAAATTCTGCAGGGACTTAAAGCCCTAATGCCATGAGGCATCCGTTCGACCTCCAGAATGGTACTATTTATGCACCATGTTTGGGAGAATTGAGAAAATAGTCATTCGAAGCAGTTTCTGTGTTCTGTGGTTCAGATGAGGAGCCCTGGATAAGAAAGACTGAAGGACTTTGTACCTTTTCTTTTACCTCCTATTCGAGAAATATGGCGGTTCCCTCAAAATAGTGCTCTCAGCCCTTTCTTAGTCTTGCTTTCTCTCTCTTCACACCTTCATAAATTGCTTCTATAAATATCATTTCTTTGTATATATGTGTTCTCTTACTCCATCTGCCTGCTGGTTACTTTGATATGGTTATTTTGCACCAACTTCACATACAGCATGTACATAAATAAAAGATGTCTGATCCTATTAAGAGTGCCATGTCACTCTCATTTTAAACTTTGACATTACTCTTGACTCTTTCCTCTCACTTCCTACCTCTATTTAGTCTAGGGGATTCTACTATACAATTTCCATCTTCTTTTTGTATTTTCACCCATAACAGTTGTAAGGCTAGTCTACTTCCAGTTTTTTATTCTACTACATCTGTCCTACTGCTCTCACATCACTGCCCCAAAATAAATCCCCAGTCACATCATTTCCTTGCGTGGAAACCTTAAGTAGTTCCTTACTACTTACTAAACAAAGGGCCAAACCGGTTAGATCGGCACTCAAGGCTGGCCCCATAGTCTTAATAGTTCACTACTGCATATACCCCATGCACCAGATACTCCAAACTACTTCTCTTTCCAGAGCAATCCTCTATTTTTACCTTTTCTTATGCTGCTTTCTTTACCTATATTGAATCCTTCTACTCCTGTCTTAGAATTCTTTCCCATTTGGAAATAGTAGCCCTCACAGAATGTTGGTAGGAGTGTAAATTGTGCCGTTTCTTAGGAAGGAAGTTTTGCAGTGTCTCTTTTAAAAAATGCATAACCCCTTTGTCCCATCAATCTACTGAGAATTTACCTACAAAAACAGTATGCAAAAACAGGCAAGGAAGCTCACTGCACTATTGCTTGAAATAGCACAAAGTGAAAATAACCCAAATACCCAAGGGTAGGGTGTCTTAGTCTGTTTGGGCTGCTGTAATGTTACTATAGGCTGGGTGGTTTAAACAATAGACATTTTTGGAGGCTACAGAGTCAAAAATCTAGAAGCCAGCTGATTAGTTTCCTGGTGAGGTTCCTCTTTGATCATGCAGGTGTCTGCCTTCTCACTGTGTCCTAACATGGTGGGGGGAGTCCTGGTCTTTCTTCCTCTTCTTTGAAGGGCAGTACTTTCATCATGGGGCCCCATCCTCATGCCCCCATCTAAACCTAATCACTCTCTAAAGGCCCTACCTCCACATACCGTTACTTTGGAGGTTAGGTTAGAATATATATATTGTAAGGGGGGTGGATTAATTGTTATTCTTTAAAGTTGAAATATCCTCATTATTTACCTGTAATTTTCTAAAAAATTTTCTTTGAATTGCTACTTGTGCTGTTAATGTAATCAAGCCTTAAGCAACTGCATTCATTCCCAGATATACTTTATTCACTTTCCCTCTGATGGTACATCACTAGCAATATCTATAAAATGCTTTACTCTTCCCATTATGTTTTTCATTTGTGGACTGCTTCAGTATATATTGCTCTTACCTATTTATATTGCCTGGCAACTTCGAGAATTCCAAAGTTTGTTCGTGTTTCTCAGGATCAGAATAAAAACCATACTATTCTATTTCGGTCTCTGAAAGCAAAATAAAAGCTTATTTTGAATATGACAGCATGTTATTTTCCTCTTGCCAAAATTTATGTCTGTGGTAAAAACTGTATTTGGAGATGGGCTATGTGTTGTGATAAATGTATTCTATATAATGATCTAAGTTGATGTTACTGATTATCACCAGATTATGATTAGAGAGATATTTCTGAGTTTAATATTAGTTTTCAAATGCTTTTAGAGTTTAATTCCAATAATGTGACCATCTAACTTTTCTTTCTCATTCTAAACCACTGATTCTAAAATTTTACAAACCATTCATCAAACCCTGTTTAGAAATTGTTTTGTACTTTTCTTGGTAGGAGTGGAGTAGTGATTGTTGGGTATTCATTTTGAATGCCTTGCTAAGTACCTGCACAGTTACTACTCAGATGAGGAGCATGAGGCATAGTTCCTGACATTACATCTAGATTTACACACAAGATGATTATTAAACACTATTTTCTAAACTAAGGTGCTGACTCTTAAGAGGAGAAATTTTCAGAGAATCTCTCTAACAAATGACAAAGCAACCTCCCTTTTACATGTAAATAACATAATCAAGCTATATGCAAAATGAATGTTGATCCATATTTTCACTTCCATAATTTGCCAAGAAATATTTATAGGCATTGCATTTAAAAAGTAAATATATATAATTTCTGCATGCTTTTGAAAAGAATAATTTCCCACTTTTTCCCACTTTTAGGTCTCTGACTTCTTTAATGATCCATTGAAAACTATAAATCCTCTGCCTTGAAAAATACATAAACATACAGAATTTTGCATATGTAATGTTATTTTAACCTAGACTTTACCTTATACTAGTAATTTAACATATTTGAGCGTTCATAACGTGCTTTTTAGAGGATGCTCAGAAGGTAAGAGTTAAAATAGGAAAGGAAGGATACCTCTAGGGTCCTGTGTATGTGCTCTGAACCCACAACCAGCCTCCTTCCCTCCCTCCTTACTACTCTCTTACCCCGGTGTCAGTGCAAAGCTTCCTGAATTTGATTTCTGCTTGTGGACAGGTTTCAGTGACACTTCTCCAGATGAAGGGTTAATAGAGGACATGATGGTAGAAGACAAAGCTGTGGAGCAACTGGCAGAAGGATTACTTTCTCACTACCTGCCAGATCTGCAGAGGTCAAAACAAGCCCTCCAGGAACTCACGTGAGCTAACCCAAGCCATAGATGCACTAATTTCCCATCTGGCCTAGTCATAATTTACTGTATAACTATGTATTATATTAAGATATAATATTTTGTAACATTTCATACAATTGAGTATTTCTGTATCTTTAGTGATGGCAAGTGGGGGTGGATAAGTATATAGTAAAGGTAAAAAGTGAAATGAATACTCCTAGAGTGTTTGGTGTCTTTTAAGAAGTACCCCTAGATATTTTCTAGACTCATTAATTAGTTTTGGTGTTTTGCCATTATTTTATGAAAATATTGCCAGCTGGGAATGTTGCGGGATGGTTATACATCTGTTTCAGAGTAGGATGGCAAAATTGCCTGTATAAAAGACACATTTGTTCTTAATCGCTGGTTCACATGACTTGCCAAATCCTTAGGTGTCTTTTTTTGAGGTGACCCATTTCATTCCTAGTATAATTCCTAGATTGATAGATAATTCCTGTATTGATTCCTAGTAACATTCCTAGTATTCCTAGATAACTCTATTAGCTAAATAAAGGATTGGAAGAGATGCTAAGAGAAGAGCAGGATAAGAATGGAATTCCTAGCGTGGGATAAGTATGCAAAATGTATGCTCTGACTTCACCACTTACCACACAGAAACAGTGGACTGAGCTTCTGTTTCCCCTTGGATCAGGACCTCTCTGGATTGGGTAAACTGGCCTGTCATTTCTTTTTGTGGTGGTCAGCTTTAAACTGGTTATGAATTGCTGCTGCTCTAATACCTACCTTTTGAAAACTTTTCTCAAAAGCCTTTATTAGGGCAAAAGGAGAGGAATAATCAACAACTATGTCCATTCGATAAATATTAGAAAATAATGTAATCCTTGGATTTGAAGAAACTGCAAGCAAAACATACTTGGGTAATAATTACAGGAAAATGGGAATCAAGGTTTAATTGCAGAGTTTAATTGGTGAAGACACTGGCTAAAATTTAGTGTTTTGAATAGCCCCAATTATCTTTCTAGGCACCCAGACAAATGATGATGATGATGTTTACAACAATATGTCCTACATGCCCAGCACTTTACATACCACATCTCAATTAATCCTGACACCTCCTTTGTGACATACCTAGTATTATCCCTGTTTACAATTGAGGAAACTGAGGTTCAGAGAAGTTAAGTATATTGAAAAAGATTACACAGGTAGTGGTAGAATTAGCAGTTGGATATGATGAATAAGCAGTTGTTAAATATCTTGAGTGTTAAGGAAAGATAACCAAATTGCAGAGGAAAGAAAAAGAGAAATGTTTCCTAGTAGCTGCTGCTTTCATCCATCTCTGTACAAATGTCATGATTCATAAATATTGGGGAAGGAATGCTGGACTGAGAGGTACCTGCTTTCTAGTCCTGGCTCTACCTTAATCT